GTTAAATTCCAGTTTCCTCTGTGGGGGAAGTAATATGGATGTTTTCTGGAATGACCCAATGCCATTAACAATGACTAATATATATATTATATTTGTTTGGACAACTTGCTTGGACAACTTTCCTTCTCCTGTCCAGAATTAGCTTTTATTAATTACTTTTCATTCAGCATCAGGATATACAATGAATCCATATTAAATACAATCCCTAAATTAAATTGAGGAGAAAAAAAATTTTAAAGGATTGATATATAACGGCAGGAAATTATTATTACACAATTATTATTACACAATTGCCGTGTAGGTAGCCGAAACGTCAGAAATAATAAAACAATTTTAATCTGGATGATCGTACAATAAACTAAAATTAAAGGAAATTATTAATTGATTGACAATGAATTTCCTATTTTTGGTTGTCTACCAGTATACAAAGCAAGAAATACAAAATTCAAATGCTTTTACTCGTTTAATGTAAGCAATGCAATTGAAGTAATATCATCCAATACAACTATTCTGGTAAAGGGTGCTTAAAATAGAGGTGCATAACTTTTTTTCCAAAATTCCTAAATGAAAAATATCTATATAATCCAGCCAGGTAGATTTAGGCTGGGGCTATTTATATGGGGTGAGCCAATAACCTGTGTACCTGGGCTGGCCCAGTTTTGGTGAGATCCTGACTTTGTCATTATTTTCTATATTTTTTCAACTTGTGTTTATAACTAGAATTGAGCTGGCCTGTTTTAGGAAGATCCCGCCACCAGACCCAAAATCTTGCTAATGCCAAGCTAGGATTTCCCATATAAACTATATATACAATGACCCAGGATTTGGCACAGTATTAATGCTTTGTTTAGGTACATGCAATCTTCTAAATGACATTTTCCAATCAATTTCAATATTAGAAGATCTCTGTGATTGTTTTTGTCAATTACATTTCGAAACTGTTTGCAAAAGCTTAGTATGATGTCGGTTTACTTTACTGGAAAACGTGCTGCTATTACACTTGAAACTCAGTCTGGGTGATTTGTTTTGGCGAGCGTAGCCTGCCCATGAGCCCATCTAGAGAGGCTCATGTAAATAGACATTCGTCCAGGGAAAGCAAGCTATAGCCAGGTTACCTGGGCTGGCTCGCCTCTATATAAGCAGCCCCTTACATATGTTTTAGGCTGACCGATAGGGGGGTTACCATAGGCATAGCAAGCACATGCGATACATTGATTGGGTAATATTGGGAGATGCCCAGATGGGCTATTGCAATGCTGTGTATAAGCTATTAAGGTGACTGCATTTCAAACACATCACATATATATATATATAAAAGTATACATGTCAACTTTATAGCAAATGATATTTTCTGTGTTGATGCAATGTACTCAGGTGAATATGATGCTTGTGATGTTACTCTGAGTGTATATCCACTGCGAGCAAGCTTGAAAAATATGCCTGTCCACGGTGGGAATCAAATCCGTGGACAGGCATATTTTTCAAGTTTGCCCGGTGTGGATATACACTCAGAGTAACATCACAAACATCATATTCACCTCAGGGCTCAGTACATATTTACATCAAGATAGAAAATATCATGATTACTAGATTATATTGGTTCCGAAGACCGAAATATCACGTACTCGAACCGACCTGACCACGTAGCTCAGTTGGCAGAGCATTGGGCTAGTATTCTAAAGGTCGTAGGTTTGATTCCCACCGTAGACAGGCATATTTTTCAAGCTTGCTAGGTGTCGATATACACTAGCTCAGAGTAACATCACAAGCATCTTCTTTATAGCAAATATTTAACAGAAAATTACAACATACAAATGTATGTCACACAAATAAGCTATACGATTTTCTTAACAACACATATATACGTGGAGACTGTAGATTAGATTTATAGACTTCTGCTAATAGAAATTAATCGAAAATTTACAACTGAGCGTCTACATGCCTTCAGTGAACTGAATCGGCGGCGAAGCGACTAATATAAAATACAGGCCTTCGATTTTAATAAAAATATAACTACAGTATGTCTAGTAACTATCCCCATGCACATGAGTAAATACACAATAGACATACCTTTCAAATTCCATTGTATTTTATTTGGTCTAACTTTATAATAGAAAATTTGAACAAAAATCTTCCTCTTTGAATGCTTGCTCTCAAAAGATCGAACTTTGGCGCTTGTTGTCAATGTGTTATACAGATCGAATTACTACAACACGTGATATATTCTAAGCATGTTAATTGGTTGAAAGTTTGGAACTTCCACTTGTCGCAAATTATATTCGGCAGCAAAACATTCCACAAGTTCAAATTACAGAACCTCTGGCAAACGCGGTAGAGATTTACGCAGCAAATAAAAAATATAGATGAAAGCAATGACTGTTAATTTAATTTGACAAGAAAAACTCGCTGACAATTTCTGGCTACATTCGATCGTCGCGTGCGATTGAACAATGAGAAGCCGATATGGTCCGATATACTAGTAATACAAGAATCTGACTTGGCAACATTCGAGAAAAACGGCGCGTCAACCAGCTAATTCAAAATCTTGTGATGATTTTACACGAACTGCTGTCCTTCACTACGAATTTGTATAGAAAATATCGCCCTAATTCTAGGTTGAAGAAACTTGAATATAGTTTTTGTCATTCCTATGAATTCCTTTGTGTAATGGTCGAGTATATTACACAGGCCGAGTAAAAACTTGGTGGAAAATTACTCGCTATTTTACTCCTACTACGATTAAATGGTTTTTAACTCTCAGTGGAGTTAAAAAATAACTCCTTGAAAGTGAAAGTATATGTCGTAAGTCGAACTAAATATTTCGACATATTTTATATAGGTTAGTTTAGCTTTCAGTGTTTTGACCTAATCATAATGGATATAATGACCTCTTTGGGAATAATAACCAATCGGTAAATTTGCCTAAACCAAAAACATTGGTTAAATTAACCTATTTTTTTGGTCGCAAAACTTGACCTGATAATATAGGTTATTTTAACTAATTTAAATCGGTTCTAACCCATTCAATTGGTTAAAACAACCTTTAATTATTGGTTATAACCTTTAGAAATAGGTTGTTTTAACCTATCAGTTTTTACAGTGCAGTAACATGCAGACCACTGCAGATAAACCAGTCCCACAGCAGCGATGTAATACATCAAAAGAGTTTATCTTCACAAAACATTACATGGTACTGATTATATACCTTCTAATTGTATAGCTGTGCTACTGTCAATCTTCTTTATCAGATGATGTGAACCCTCTATGGTTAAACCCATGCAGTTCTTTTTCAGGTGTTTGATGTACTACAGCATGCAAACGTGATATATCATTTGGTTTACAGAAAATACGGGAACCACTGAGTATTCTGATAAAATACAAAACAATAGATACTCCGAAAATTGAAAGCATTTTGAAAATTTAGTAAATACTTAATAAATTAATATATTAATAAATTTTCAAAATGCTTTCAATTTTCGGAGTATCTATATTGTTTTGTGACTGTTTGGTTTACATCAATCTAAAAGAATGGAAAAAACTATAAGAACAGACACCATTATAATTCCTACTGCCAATCAAAGAGAATCAGATATAATGGCATACCGTAAACCTCCCGAATATATGCTGTGGCTTATATTCGTTCGTAAGGATTTTTGATTGGGACTAATGTACAGGGGCCTATATAGTATATACTTTTGTTGTATCTGTAAACTATGTGAAGTGTGAACCATTGCCTCAGTCAAAACATGTTCATGACGAGTGGCAGACATGTTGCAAACTATATGAACATTTAAACCTTTTTTGCTTGAATTAGACAGATAATAATCTGGTCAACCCATTGAGCGCCAGCACTCTGCCCTTGTCGAGTATAAAATTATCAAGCTGGCGTGAGACAGAGTAAAATAATCTAGAAAAATTTACTAGAAAAAAATATAGAAGACTAGAAGTGATGATCATTCCTATGTTGTACAGTTAAAACACAG